GTAGCTAGAAGGACAAGGCAATGTGGGTTTTCGACATGTGATTGTAGTATAAGCTAAGTAGGGGAGTCTATTGTCTACGATTAGATCATGTGGTTATGCGCCTTTGCAGTTTTGGGTTATCGGTACGTTGGTGGATTAGTTATGACTAAGGGAAGAAAACATCAGGGCTAATTCGAGCAAGGGATTTGATGGATGTGTGCTACGTGTAACCTTATTGATATGCGAAGGTTGTTGAATGATTCAGATTTTGTACTTCGTATGGATGTGGTGTACAAGGGAAAGGATTTATTCTGTTGTTTCGTTGGAATTTTCATGTGCTAACGGAGCACTAGTTGTTTGGTTATATAATCGGGACAGGATTAGAGTGGGTGACTCTCAATGATGGTTCTAGTGGATTCGGGATTTAAGGTGTGGTGATTAGGGATTATCGGGTTCGGTATGTGGCTGAGGATTGGATTTTGCAGCAAACTGTGAAGGGTACTTGTATGATTCTATATTACCAGCGGGTCTGCGGTGCGGCGTTAAGGAAATGGGAGAAACAGCTTCAAGTTTGCAGAAGATCTAGTCAGCGCGAGTGTATCAGTTGGAGGTACTATTGAGTGCATGAGGAGGGTATGAAATGGCTTGTGGGTATTGAGACGATGCGATCTCAAAATATAGGTCACTCGAAATGAGTGTTGATTGAGGTCCGTTATGTTTTTGAATAGAGGTATTGATTTTGAAGGCAAGTCAATAGTAAATCGGAAGGAGCTGAGTTGGTTAGTAATGGGTTGAATCAGTATGGTTAACTAAATGATCGGTTCGTTCGGTGTAGTAAGGTTATACAGGTGTTCGTGGCTACACTTGCAGTCTTGACAGCCTCCATAATTTGGTGGTTTAATGAAATTCAATCCTGATGGTTTGGTTACATGCAAATGGGTCCTAAGGGGTTATGACGGTCTCGGCCACAACTTGAGGTTCCGTGTCTTTTGCAATTATGGGAAGTTGGTTGTGTGTTGAGATTCTTCTTCTGAAATGAGTTAAGTGAAAGGCTTCTAGCCGATGAAGTGGTTATTTTATTGGTGGTTCAGGAGCTATGATGAAAGTCTTGTACTCTCGCGTGCAGCATGATAGGTGCAGGGAGCGGTATAAAATTAGAAATTCAGGATCAAGGTTACAATCCAGTTTGACAGAAATTTCACGGGTTTGGAAGAGAGGGGGAGAAATTTTAGATGATTAGAGTGCAGGTCCTATTTTAGGGTCGCCTGGGAAGGGTATCTTGTGGAAGGGGCAATGTGTGTTGATTGTGGATTCAGGATTTGTATTGTAGAAATAGTACGGTTGGTGGCCATGGATGTGCAGACTGTGCTACCTGGTATGGAAGGTTGTGGGAGTATCTCCCATGGGATGATCATATAAGTATGGTGTGTGTCAATTATTTAAGGCGCGGATATTGAAATCAGGTACGAAAATTCTGGCACTGTCGCTGTTGGGGGAGTTTATGTCTGAGAGGGGTGCTATTTCTTTAGTTACGGACTATGGAAGTTGTATGGGATTGGACGATAGATCATATGTGACATGAATAGGGTCATTGTGGATCTTTGGAAGGTTATTGGCCCATTTTGGGATAATCGCAATCGGCTTGGGGTCCGTTGGTAGGCCTAATGTAAATGTATATTTCATACCAGATCAGATATGTTTATTCGGCATAGCATCGCTTATGGATGGGTCTTTGGGCATGGTGGATGATATTCATGACGTGTCTATTTTTGGTGATACTCTTTTTATGCTAGGTGGATAGTGAGACGATTTGATTATTCACACATGTGTTGTGTTCTGGTGTAGCTTGTGGTATTATACGAGCGAGATGGCTTTCGAGATGCAAGTCATTAATTGCACCTTAGTCGTGCTTGGCATTTTGTACGCATGCCGCTATCTGTCTCCCCAGGGTTGTGTTTATGCACTTGGCATGCATGTGGTCAATATTCGGGCATTTTGTTGGTATGAGTGTTTTGGCTCAATGGATATTTCCTTAATGATTGTTATGTGTGTATCAGGTGGCACGCCGCCACGGGTATGATGTTTAGATCGGGTTAAACGCCGCAACAGTGAGATTTTGGGTACGGTTCCTTTTACTTATTTAGCGTGCTTTGTTTCTTACCTTTGAAATAGGTTAATAGCATTTGTCTTTTGACTTGAATGTTATGCGGGTGATGTGTGGTAGAATTGCGGCACTTTTGATACTAATTACATAGGCTATAGCTCGTCTTTTAAAGCATTTTAAGTCAATTCTTATGTAGTTATGATGTTTTGCAGCAAACTAGACTTGAAGAACCAAGAACAAGGAAAAGATGACAAAAACCCATAAAAGAGCAGAAATGATGCAGGTTTGCGACCGCAAAATTAATGTGCGGGCCGCAAACCATCCGCAGAGTGAAGCAGATAAACCTAGTCTTTAGAATTGATTTTGCGGTCAATTTTTGCGGTCGCATAACGCTTCTGCGGACCGCATATTGATTGCAGAAGTGCAAAGAGAGTTTCTGCAAGAACAATTCTGCGGCATCAAATGAGATCGTGATATCAATGTGTGGACCGCATAATGGATCTACGATAGAAAACTGGGTAACGGGACATTCAATTATGCGATGAAATTGTATTTATGCGGGCTGCAAAAGTGTTCTACGGCTCATTCTGCGGTAGCAGTTGTGATCTGCAGGGGTATTTTTTGTCATATTTTGACTCCGACTTTTGGCCCATTATAATAATTAGGGTTTTTGTGGGGCATCTTGTCTAAAGAAGAGGCTACACTTAGAGCATTGAATACACCATTGTTTTAGAAGCTTTTGAAGAGAGAATCTTGTCATCTTTGTAAGCTTTATGACTTTATTTATTGCTTTGTTCTTGGATTCTAGTATGAGTAGCAAGTTTTAAATACTAAGGTTGTGGACCCTAAATGAGTGTAATGTTAAAGGGTGTTTACTATTGAATATATATATATATATATATAATGGTTGGTTGGTATTTATTCATTTCTCATGATTCATTTAATGTTGATGGTTGCAAACATTGACTAATCTTTACTTGGAAAAGTGGGTTAGGGTTTGGTAGAATTGAATAACAAAAACTCAAGGCTTTAAGCCTTGTTTAATAGAATCGCTTAGGAATAAGTGGGTTCTATTTGGCATAAATTGGTTGTTCTTGATTGCAAATCTTTTACATTTGGGAAAATCATAAAGAGAAAATACTACCTAACTATTGGGAAGCATTGGATATTCATTTAGGAATCATTTGCATATCAAAGGACCTTCCATTAGAAATATATCATATTAACACCGATAGCATTGTATTCCATTAATGGGGACACAACCTTGGTTTCATTAATCAAAATAATTACACTCTCATAACAAAATAGTTTTCTTGATAATTCACAATTACAACATTCTCTTTTTTTTTTAGTTAATTCAAAAAAGCTCAACTTGTTGTAAAAAAGTGCATGACAGTTATGTGGCGCATGATAACCATTGCTTTCGGCGCATGATAGCAAGGATTGCAATTGTGGCCGGAAACAATGGCTCGTCGCCGGAAAATTGTGCATGTCACTACTAACCAGACGGAGAAGCTAATTACTCCAGCTAATGGCATTCCTAAGGAATTAACACCTCTCACATTTGGAAATTTTCTACCTGAGAAATTTCAATCGATTGAGGAAATTCATGAAGCTAGTAGTTTTGAGGCTGATGTCCAACTACATCCGATTAAAATGGAGGAAACAATGAATTCACCGGTGAGACGATTACAATTTTCAGAGGCGAGCGGATCGGAGAAACCAACTCCCACTGTAGCTGATATTGTTCGAGGAAATCGAAGTTCATGGGTAAATCATTATCATTTGTCCCACCTACTGATTGAGATGGTAAGAAAATTGTCAAGTTATGTGTAGATGACTTGCAATCACAGGCAGATTACTGGAAAACTTCCCTAATTGGCTATATAATTGGAGAAAATCCTTATGAAAAAGCTATAGAAAACTTTGTGCTGAATATGTGGAATTTTGTTACTAAGCCTCAGATTCTGATTCATTCTGAGGGCTACTGTATTTTCAGATTCAATACTATTGCTGATAGGGATTAGGTTCTTCAAGCAGGGCCATATACGTACAGGAACAAACCTATGATACTAAAGCTATGGGAAATTGATTTTTCATTTAATAAGGATATTTTAAGCACAATTCCAGTTTGGGTGAGGTTTCCTGGACTGCCTGTGGGGTTTTGGTCAACTGAAGCCCTAAGCAAAATGGCTAGTGTAGTGGGGAAGCCCTTGTACACAGACAAGTACACTGCTCACTATGAGAAAATATCATATGCTAGAGTGCTTGTGGAGGTAGATGTTGCTTATCCTCTGCCAGAGCAGATAGAGATTGAATCTCCTTATGGCCCTATGATTCAAATGATTGAATATGACTGGAAGCCTGCATTCTGCAATGAGTGTTTGAAATTTGGGCATGATTCTATTGATTGCTGGTATAACACTAAGTGTGATGAAGAGCAGGAATCTAAGGAAGAGGGAAGACCAAGGAGACAGAGAAGAAGAGCAAAGAAGCAAGGAAAAACTGTTAAGCAAGCATGGCTTGTTAAAAAGGTTCAAGTGAAGACAGAACCTAATCCTCAGGAAAACTTAACAGTGCAAAAGGAGCATAATCATGTAAGTAATAGCATGGAAAAGGCCAGTGAAATCATAGAGAGTCCACAACAGCATGTTACTTTGACTCAAACATGTAATGGAACTAATCCAAGTGAAATAAACTGTAGCAATAGTGTGATGGATGATAATTTGGAAAAGGGCAAGGCAATTGCTGATATGATGGATGAAGGAAGAAGAGGACAACAGATAAACCCAGGGCCACCAGGCCCTCTAATGTTCAAATCACAATGATCATTGTCACTTGGAATGTTAGGGGGCTAAACCAAGCCCATAAGCAGAAAGAGGTAAAAATATTCCTAGCTACAAATAAAGTAGATGTTATGGGATGCATAGAAACCAGAGTTAAGGAGCATAAAGCAAAGAAAATTCAAGGAAAGATTGCAAAGGGATGGAATGTATGCTGCAACTATTCAAATGCTGTGAATGGGAGAATTTGGTTACTTTGGAAAGCTCATATTCAAGTTCAAATTATCCATATGACAGACCAATTCATCCAGTGTTGTATTGAAGATACTAACAGTTAGTTTAAAACTAATATTAGTATCATTTATGCTCAAAATGATGGGAATCAAAGGGAAAAGCTATGGAGAGATCTTAGAGGGCTAACTATACCAAGTCAGGAGGCTTGGCTTCTTAGTGGAGACTTTAATAATGTGCTTAGCTCTGAGCATACAATTGGTTCCCCTGTTACTGATGCTGAAATAAAGCGATTTAAGGATGTCATTGATGATTTACAACTCACCCCTCTTAGAGCTAAAGGGTGGCATTACACTTGGACAAATAAGCAAGGTTCTGATTCTAGGGTGTATAGCAAGATTGACTGGGCTTTGGGAAACTACCAGTGGATTCAGCAGTATGGGTATATAGAAGCTAATTTTTTGAACCCTTCAGTGTCTGATCATTCACCTATTCTAATCAAATGTGGTAGACAGCAGCTAATGCACCCAAAACCATTCAGATTGTACACAAACATCATGGAGCTTCCTCAATTTCAGAACATTATGCAACAAGTATGGAAACAGCACTATGAAGGAGCACCTATGCAGCAGATATGGAGTAAACTGAAGAACATGAAGGAACAACTAAAGGAGGTAAATGCATATATGGCTTCATACAAACAGAGACTTGAGCAGGCAAGAGAGAAATTGGATATTATACAAACTCAGATCAAGCAGAACCCTTTATCACAGTCCCTTTTTAATGAAGAGAAAATAACATTAGATGAAACTGAAAAGTGGAGCAATATGGAGGAGCAAGTAATGAGGCAGAAATCCAAGGCCTGCTGGATTGAATGTGGAGATGCTAACACAAAGTATTTCCATGCCCGGTGGAAGATTAGATCCAGTCATAATAGCATAACATCTATATATACAGATACAGGTTTGAAATTAAATGAGCCCAAATTAGTTGAGCAGGAGTTCATTAATGTCTTCCAGTCATTAATGGGAAACTGTGCTACTGAGATTCCATGTGCTAACACAGCTATTATAAGGGAATGATCTTGCCTAACTATATCACAACACAAAGCATTGATACGGGAAGTTACAATGGAGGAGATCATAGAAGCAATTAAGGAGATGCCTAAAGATAAAGCACCAGGAGTGGATGGGTTCCCTGTGGAATTCTTCACCAAGAACTGGGAACTAGTGAAAGAGGATATATATGCAGCTGTTAAGGATTTCTTCTCCAATAACAGATTGCCTCAAATGATAAATACAACAGCCATTGCTCTAGTCCCTAAAGTGAAAGTGCCAACAACAGTCAAAGATTATAAACCCATTGCATGTTGTACCACTCTATATAAGATCATCTCTAAAGTCATTACAAAAAGAATGAAAAGTGTGATGAGTGGATTGATTGGGCAGGCTCAGTCAGCTTTTATTGAAGGAAGAAGCATAGTTGATAATATACTTCTTAGCTATGAATTATTCAAAGGATATTCCAGAAAAGGAGTATCTCCTAGATGTGTACTGAAGGTGGATTTAAGGAAGGCCTATGATACTCTGGAGTGGAACTTTCTTAGACAGATGCTTATTGATCTTGGTTTTCCAGCTAAGTTTGTGCAGTGGATAATGACCTGTGTTACTACTGTATCATACTCCTTGGTTTTAAATGGTGGCTTAACAAAACCTTTCAAAGCCAAGAGAGGGATTAGGCAAGGAGACCCTATGTCTCCCTACCTATTTGTTATTGCCATGGAATATTTGAGTAGAGAACTGGGACAATTGCATAAGAATGGGGACTTTAATTTTCATCCTAAGTGCAGGAAGCTAAACAGCACACATGTATGCTTTGCTGATGACCTGCTAATGTACTGCAGGGCTGATCTTGAATCCATAAAGATTTTAAATGCTGCTTTTAACAGATTCTCAGTTGCTTCTGGCTACAAGCAAATGCTAGCAAATGTGCAATATATATGGCTGGAATAAATCAAGATGCTAGAGAAGAAATCCTTGGTGCTTTGGGATTTACTGAAGGCAAGCTCCCTTTCAAATATTTGGGGATTCCTTTAGACTCTAAAAAACTAGCTATCTATCAGTACCTGCCCTTGATTGAGAAGATAACAGCAAAGATTACATGCTGGTCTGCAAAACTCCTCTCTTATTCTGGTAGATGTCAACTGATCAAGGCAGTTATTTTTGGTATTCAGACCTATTGGGCTCAGGTGTTCATTATTCCAAAGAAGGTGATGAAAGCTACTGAAACTATCTGCAGAACATTTCTATGGACTGGAAGTGCAAGCACTTCAAAAAAGGCTCTAGTAGCTTGGGAAAGGGTGTGCAGGCCAATATCAGCTGGAGGTCTCAACATTCTGGACATCAAGATGTGGAACAAGGCAGCAGATATAAAGCACTTATGGGACTTAACGAGGAAAAAGGACTGTCTACGGATACGATGGGTGCACAGTTTCTACATAAAAAATAGAGACATTGAAACAATGAATACTCCCAAGACTGCATCTTGGGTAGTAAGGAAGATACTAGACAATAGAGATGCGATCATGGAGCACCAGCAAATGCAAGGGAATATGCAAACCAGGTTACAGGCAATATGCAAGGATGGGAAGTTCCAGATCAAACAAATTTCCTATATTCTGCAAAGTTGACTGGAAGAGTCTAATGCTACATACAAGTATACATCCAAGACATAGATTCACATTTTGGCTAGCAGCACAGCAGAGACTATCAACAGTAGACAGGTTATTGAAAATTGGTATACATGTTCCTACAGGGTGTGCATTCTGTGGGCATAGTCTAGAATCCTTTAACCACTTATTCTTTGAATGCTCAATCACAAAGAATCTGTGGTCTAGACTTTGCTTCTGGCTGGGACATAGGAGAAACAATTGTGATTGGAAAGATGAAATGGATTGGATATGCAAGAAAGCAAAAAGAAGGAAAGGGATAAATGCTATAACCAGTTGTGTTTTTGCAAGTACCATTGCACTGATCTGGAGGGAAAGGAACAAAATCGGATTTGAAAAAGGAAAATATGATGAGAACCAGATATGCAGGGAGATTGTATTGCACATTCACATCAGAGGTAGGAAATACAACAAGTGGAGAGGAGCACTACAGCATTTGGATAGGATCCCATAAAGACTGAAATGAAGAATTGTAATAGGTAGTGTTTAAAAAAAGACAGTGTCTGTAACTAGTGACATAGGCATTTAGACACTTAGTTTGGATAGGAAAATGTGATGTATATAGAGTAGTAGTAAGTCAAAACTACTACTGTATTTAAAATTTTAAATCTGTTTTTGAGTATCAATACAATATAATTTTAACTCAAAAAAGAAAAAAAAAACATTCTCTTTTTAAGCTAACGGAGTAGAATTACGACTTAGGTCAAGTTTCACACTACTCAAGTAACCTTTATACACCCATTCCCTGTGGGATTCGACCCCAACCTTTGGATTATTACGTTTGACACTGACCGCCTTACACTATTTATTAAGGTGTAATTTGAGCATATCAAATTTTGGCGCCGTTGCCGGGGAATACGGTTTTGAAATTACTAATTAGTGTGTGCTTTACTTTAAATCTTCTTCTATTCCATCTCACTTTGCTTGCTTTGCTTGGTGTCACTAGGTAAACATGGGCGAGCCAGAAGAAGAAAATATTTTTGCGGATATAGATGAGTATATTGAGGATACAAATGCCATTGTCCTTCCAAGAGTTGATGCTGCTACCTTCAAGGTGGAACACAGTCTAATCTTAATGCTCAAAGCAGAGGGGTTTTCCCGAAATTCCACGGATGATGATCCGACACAACATCTCAAAAAATTTTAGGGTGTGTGAAATGCACAAGCAGAATCATGTCTGAGATGATGCCCTAAGGTCGAGGGTGTTCAAGTACTCTCTAACTAGAGAGGCAAGGCAATGGATCAAAAATCTACCGCCTAGTTCCATTCATACTTGGCCCGAACTTGTCCGATCTTTCCTAGCAAAGTGGTTTCCGCAGAGCAAGAAGTCCGAGCTCCGGGATAAAATTTTCTTTTTCAAACAATTACCGAAAGAGTATCTACATGAGGCATGGGATTGATTCAAGCTATATTTAGTGAGGTCGCCCAATCATGGTTTTCCAAATAATATCTTGTTGGAAAAGTTTTACATGGGCTTGGTTCCTATGAATCGATCCATAGCGAAAAATGCAGCTGATGGATCCTTTATGGATAAAACATTTTTAAGGGTCACACAAATCCTTGACAAGATGGAAGAACATAACCAAGCTTGGCACTCACAAGACACCACGGGTGGAATTGCATATGGTACTCCTTCATTGACCAACATGCTTAAGGAGAACCAAGAAAGAGATCAAGTGATTGCCGGGCTTGCCACCAATATCAACGTGTTGACGAAGATGTTCACTGAAAGTCAAACAAAAAAGGTGAATGTGGTGGAAGATGTTCAACCTATGTCAAATGATGATTACGAGGAAGCAAAATATGTCAACAACTCTCAAGAAGATTATCAAAGGAAACCCTACCAAGGTTCAGGACAACAAAACCAATGGAGACCTAACCCGCAAGGGCAAGGCAACCAACAGTGGTGAAATGACCAAGGTAGTTCAAATCAAGGAAATTGGAGTAACAACAACAATAATTTTTCAAATTGGAGTTCCAACCCCTATGTTCCACTAAAGGGGAAATATTCAAACTCTCCACATTGGAAAGAAAATTCTTCGAGTGAGTCCAACTTGGTAAACATGCTTGAACGAGTATTGAAAAATCAAGATAGATCCGACACTTCAATGAAGAACATGACCAAGCTTGTGGGCTCTCATACCGCATCTATTCAAAAGTTGGAGATGCAAATGAGAGATCTCTCAAGAGAGCAAAATCCGAAGCAAAAAGGCACACTCCCAAGTGACACAATTGCAAACCCAAAAGGTAGTGGGAGTGGCCCAACTCCTCATTGAATGGCAATCACAACTTGAAGTGGGAAACTACTCCAAGGAGAGAATGAACAAGTGGTTGAAAAGGAAGATTCTGAACAAGAAGTCGAGGCACAATTTGAGGTGCCAATTGTTGTTGAATTCGAAAGACTCCCGAAGAAGGTGAGAACTCAAGAAGTGAACCATATAGAGGTTAAGGAAAAGGTGATAGAGGCACCAAAAACTCTAGCACCAATTCCTAGGCCTCCGCCTCCTTTCCCTCAAAGACTTGCTATGAGGGTTGATGATAGCAAACTCGAAAAGTTCTATGACATTCTCAAGCAATTATCGGCAAACATTCCATTTGTGGAAGCATTTCAAGAAATGTTGGGTTTTCCTAAGTACTTGAAGGACTTAATCACTAAAAAGAGAACCACCAAGAATGAAGTGGTGAATGTGACTCACCGGTTTAGTTCCATCATTGCAACAACCACAGTCCAAAAGAAAGAGGACCTGGGAGCTTTCACCATTCCATGCACTATTGGTTGCGCAATTTTGCACGAGCCCTTTGAGATAATGGGGATAGCATCAACTTAATGCCTCTTGATATTTACAAGCAATCGGGGTTAGGTATGCCTAGGCCTAGAAGTATGAGGTTGAATGACCGACCGTTCAGTAAAGAGACCGGTGGGAATTGTTGATGATGTTCTTGTGAAAGTGGGGAAGTTCCTCCTCCCTGCCGACTTTGTTATCATCGATTGTGTTGTTGATAAAGAAATCCCTATCATCTTGGGAAGACCATTCCTTGCTACCGGAAGAGCACTCATGGATTTAGAACGAAATGAGATCAAGTTTCGAGTTAATGACGAAGAGGTTACCTTTCAAGCGAGTAAGGGTATGACATTGCCGCATGCATACGAAAGTATCTCAGTCATTGATGTTGTTGATGATGTAGAGGATGCATTCGAGGTAAAGATAGAAGAAGAATGCTTTGATGAGGCATTGGTGGCTATTTTGGTAAATTTTGATGGTGAAGACATAAGGATACATGGAATCGGTAAATGCATTGGAAGGGCTTGGGTCCTACACTTATGCACCAAAGAAACTTTCTCTTGACTTAGAG